TGCACGAGGTGACTGCCGACAAATGACAAGAGTGGCCATTTCATGAGCACTTAATTCATTTAACAGTGTTGGGCACAGAGCAAGTGCTGCGTGAGTATTTTGGTTAGGGTTCACTTGTACCTTTTAGGTTTAGCTCTTATGCAAAGCCTGCAGTTCAGATCCACGTGTCAACCTCAGGTCACTACATCCAACTGCAGCAGGTATGGGGAGAATCCGAACCACAACGCCTTCCCTTGCAGTGAATTTCTCTCTCAGCTTTGTTTTTAGTTTGAACCACATCATAAATCTATGATAAGGGTATTCTTGTTCCTATTCTATAGACGAGGAAATTGAGGCACGCTGAGGGAGAAAGTGACAAGGAAGAGACTAGAGGCTACATCTGATTTTACACCAAATTTTCATCCCACACAATGAATAGCAACCTCTGGATGTTTTTCAAGATTTGAGTGAAGTCCAGAATCAAACTGAAGACTGTGTGTGTGTGTGTGTGTGTGTATTCATATTCAAAAAGACTACATACACGCTACATGTATTATATATAATAATATACACATAATAATTTATTATATATTAATATAACATATAATTTAGAATATATTATATATAACATATAATTATATATAATATTAATAATATATAAGTATGATTAATATAATCATATATTATATAATAAAATACATATAATATACACACTCTCTATAAATGTACTCCAAAAGCTTCAGGGTCTCCCAAGTATCACATGACCCTTACCTGAGGCAATCCTAAAACTTGGCTGCTTGGGCTAGCCTGGGGACACATGAGGAGTGGGGAATTAACCGGGCTGTTACTTGGCACCCAGGGCACTCGACCTCCTTCCTGGCAATGCTCTCTCCTTCTGCCGAAACTGATCTCTCTGATCTGCCTTTCCCCCCAGGATCCAGAGTGGTCCTAGGAAACCCAAGGAAATGCTTCCAGCTGGGGGCCTCGGGGGTGTAGGACATTGTTCTCTCCCCTTCCCGGGTCCTATTGTTTTAAAACCTAATCAATAAAAATTGAGCTGGTGCCTGTGGGTCCTTGTCCTGCTTCCATCCAAGCCACTTTCACAGGTTGCCTCATTTTACTTTTTCAGTACCAGGGAGAAGAGTGGTCTTCCCACGGTGCAGAGGAGGAGACTAAGGCCTGGAATGTATGTGGTACAGAGGTTGAGACCACGCCAGCCTGCCCCGTCTTCATCAGGCCCTCTGACACAATATTAAGGGCCATGGCAAGGAGTCAGTTCCTCTGTGACCCCAAACCTCATCCCTGTGGAGGTTTCCTCTCTGCTCTGGCTAAGACATGGTCTAACCTTGGTAAGGAAGGGGGAATGGAATCCCAGCCACCTTGCCCTTGACCCCCATGAGTGGCCAAGTCATAGCCAGGGTGGGCCTTTGGCTGTGGGGGCAGTGCTCTCAAGCCTCCGGCTGCCCTGGCGCCTGGTGTCTAGGGCCTCACAGCTGCTAGGACTTTGAGCCTTTGCTTGGACCCACACCATCAGCTAAGGAAAGCACCCACAAAGGCTAAGCTTCCAGTTTACCCCTGGCCACCACCACCACTGGCTCTGTCATCTCAGACCTTTTGATGCTGATTTCAAGCTCCCGGCTCTCGAGTCAGGGCCTTGTGGCTTCCAAGGCTGGACTGAGGCCGCTGGAGGGAACTCAAGAGGTGCGCTCAGGGCTGCAGGCCCAGCTAACTCCACAAAACAAGGCTCTTCTCCCCTCTGTACGGAGTGGGGGTTTGACTGCCCCTACATCACCCCGTAGGAGGTGACAACCAGGGATTTGAACCTGTCCAAAGCTGGCTCTGCTCCCACGCCAGCAGACACTCTGTGCCCATTGTATAGAGGAGGAGACTGAGGCTCCATCTCAAATGGAGCGCCTCTTGCTGACCCAAATCTGGGTGAATCTCTCCCGAATAGTCTAAGACCCTAATGAAAAGTCTTGGTAGTTTATTTACTTATTGATGTACATTGACGATGCCACTACATAAAGAAAGCAAGAATGACGGTGAGAGGAAGAGAGGGAAGAAGGAAAAATTCAGGAGAAACCTCCCGTTTTTATGTGGAAAGTGCTCTGTTGCAATGATGAGCATCCATTCTGCACAGGCCCAGATGCCCACTACCTGCGGCAGTGTCAACACCACCAGCTAAGAAAAGCACCCACAAAGGCCAAGCTTCCAGTTTACTTCTTTGGGTCCCTGAGCTATTGATTCTCTAGGCCCACGGGTCACCTTCTTCTCTACTTCCTGAGTGAAGGGCCCTTCTGCTGCCTCCTGGCCCTGCCAGAGGCTGGCCCCTCCCCGCATCTGTGTGGCTCAGACACTCACAGCTCAGGACACAGGACTCCAGGTCCCTGACCCATATTCTGCCTGGGCTCTACAAATGCCAGGCTCTGTCATCTGTGCCAGTGACTGGAGGTGGGGGTGACAGGGGTGGATGGGGCTGGTCAGTCCACCTCTGAGCCTCCCCAGCACCCCAGTCCTAGTGCAGCCCACCTAGCCCTGTTCTGTCCCTTGGGCACCCAAAGACAGTGAACCCTCACCTTGGTTCCTTAGTGGCACAACACATGGGGGTTCTGTGGCTCTAACTCCAGGCAGCAGAGCGGGAAGGCTTGGGCAGGACAGGGGGAATCCTCCATAGCCCTCCTTCACCTGCAGGGCTGGCTGGAAATCTTTTAAGCTAGATCTCACCCAAATCGGCGAGGTGCTTTTTCCTTTTTTCATCCTCTCTCCTCTGAGTTCCCCTGACTCTGCCTTTATTTAAATCTTTCTCTTCTCTTGTCTCTGCTTTCCTCTCTCCTTTTTTACTCCTCTATGTCCCATTCTTTAAAACAGGCAGTTTAGGAATCAATTTACTTTTATTTCAGCACCACCTCCCCAAAACATTGCTCTCAACCACAAAGCTCTTAATAACTTCATTCATATTCCTGGGCATTAATTATTCCAAAAGATGGTGCTAAGGAAAGAGAACCACAGACACAAGCCACTCTTGTGACAGCCGCCTCCTGTGGGCAGACTGACCCTCTGCAGCGCAGAAATGGAAGGACACTGGGCGGACCCAGAGATATTTTTGTGCCTCCTTTGGGAAGACTCTTTGGATCTAGCCTGTCCACAATATACGGGCACCTTATGATGCCTTGACCGTGCCAGCGACATTTCCCCTGGGTGCACGATGGTCCTGTTTACCACTGCCACAGCACCTCGAGAGGCCACAGGACACTGTGGCTTTGAATGTGGACCTTGCAGACCAAGAGGTCAGATTCCTGACTCCAACACTTAACGGCCGCCCAGCTTTACCCAAGACATTTAAGCTCTCATAACCTGTTTCCAGACCTGAAAATGGGAGTAACAATCACCTGTAACTCATGGCAGCCTTGACAGAGGTCAATGAGAGAAACCTGCACACATGCTTGGGTTAGTGTTCAACGAATGCTTGCTGGTATGGCCTGTGTTGTCACTGTAAGGTCATGGTGGCTGGATTATACAGCGTCCCCTACCCCTACCACCACAAGGCACTCATGACCCGGCCTGTTTGTGCAAGAACAGATGATGCAAACTACCATGGCGCCCAGTGGAGCCGCTGCCAGCTTCTTCTGGGGACACTGTGCAGCACATGGGCCTGCCATCAGCTGTCAGGACCCGTCCAACTGTTTTGGAAGTGCCTCCAGCGTCTGCCACTGGTTGCCTCATGGTGCTTCTGCCCAGGCAGAGTTCAGGGCTGTGGCAGGGGTGCTGGCCCCAGCTGGATCTGTCTGTGCCCCTCGGAGCCCCCTCAAGCCCTCACCTCACGAAACAAGCTTATCTTTAGAAGAGCACTCCTGTCCTGTGCAGGGGCTCAGCTTCTGCCCTGCTTCATGCCCTCCTCATTTACCTGCCCTCCCTCGGAGTCACCAGCCTCCTTGTCTCCTCATTCCAGTTCATACCCCTGGCTTCCCGAAGAGCCACCGAAGTCAAATCTCACATCCTCCAAGGGAAATGGGCCACTGAAATGAAAATGATTCTCCACCTAGAGGCACCAGAAACCAAGTAATGTTTCTGGGCCTCCAATTCTGGGGCCTGAGATGCGAACACATGGGTGGCAGTGTAGGTGCCTGGCTGTGTCCCGTCATATCCCGGATGCTCAATGCGTGTGGCTATGTGTCTGCTCAAAAGCTCTCAGGAAGTGTTCCAACTTCTTGCTTGGCCTGGAAGCAACTGCCTCTCCCTCTGGCCTCCCCTTCCAGCCTCACCCCCATTTTTCACGTGCAGGACCCTTTGCCAGAGCCACATTTCACTTTCTACCATCGCCCCAGGTCCCTTGACTTCCCTGCCTTTGCCCAAGCTGCTCCTCCAACTAGAGGTCTCTGGTTCCACCCTGAGGCATCCCACCTATCCTTTCAAAGGCCATGGCCTCCTTAAATGCACACGCACACATGGTATTCTTGCATCCCTGCATTCCAAAGCTTTGTTAGATCTCACATAAATAACATTCCTCCATTTCCTCTCCTAACCCCGAACAGTTGAAAGCAGAGCCCATGGCACCTTGGTTGCTATGGTCTCCCACAATACTGTGCATGCCTAGGCACTCTGCAACAGTTACATTAAATTAACTCCCACTCATGAAAACCTCTATCTGTGCGCCTGACCTGAAAGCATTTCTGAAAGTCATTCGTCTGACAGATATTGCCCAAGACCTACGGACCCAACAATAGCATCATTGATAACTCCTCTTGCATTTCCATTTTTAGAAGTGCACAGCAGAGTGATATTCTGAGCGAGAGTCCTCCAGAAGAATGGGTAAGTACGTGCAAATTGCTGAGCCTCTGTTCATTGCATCCAAAATGAAAGTCACCAGCATGCTGTATAACTCAAGAAAATACGAGAGAGAGGGAAAAGCAACATCACAGTTTGACTACAAGAGGTTTCCAGTAAGTACTGCAGCTGAAAATCCCAGCCAGCCAAACAACCTTTTGCAAGATCTATATAAGAAAGTTGAAAGCATGCGTTACCTGTTAGGCTCTGAAACAAGGCTACAATTCAGGGGTAATACAAAGGATTTTCTTGAGAGTGTCTGAATTCAGAACATGCTCCCCGAGTTTTCCTTCTGCCCTGGCCCCAAGCTTCTGGCTGCTCTGCCCGGCAGTTCTGAAACGCTCTCCTTTGAAGCAGGGAGTTTATTTTGGGGCCACCGCATGACCAACGTTGACAAGCCAAACTATAAGATGTTATGCATCTCAGATTTCCTGTTTGGAGGTTGCACCGAGGAAGCTGCGATCCTGCCTTCCATTCCTCTGGGTGCATCGAATACAGACTCTCACTTCAGAGAGGATCCTGGAGCTTTGGCCCTCACGTGATGTCATCATTTGTGATCCTTGACATGGAGGCCATATATGGGTATGTTTCTGGAACTACCCAGGAGGGAGCCAAACAGGAGAGAGATGCAGTGGGTCAGAGACAGAGGCAGGGAAAGAGGATGAGGAGACCCAGAGTTGGGAGACAAAGAGTGAGGAGCAGGGGAGGAGGAAGAAAGGGGAAGAGGAGAAGAAAAGGCAACAAAGGAGGGAAGGCAAGACGGCAGGAAGGAGGAGGATGGAGTGAAAGAGGAGGGAAGTGGGGGAGAGAGGAGATGAAGGAGTTGATGTAAAAGGGCTTTGGAGAAATCAAGGTTCGGTGCTGAACTTGTGGCAGCATTTGGGGATACCAGGTGTCTGGCTGCTGGATACTGTGGGGTGGGGCTGGGGATACAAAGGGCCAAGGTACAAATGAGCCAACAAACAGAGAGGCATGCGGGCAAGCCCTGGGCAGAGATACACAGCAGAAGGGAGCCCTTCCTCCTGGTCTAGGGAAGAATGTCCCATTTCTGGAATAGGTCGAATGTCAAAGACAACACACACACAGCCATACGCACTGAGCGTCTGGGATGTGATGGGACTCAGCCAGGCACCTACGCTCCCACCTGTGTATTCACATCTCACGCCTCAGGGTTGGGGGTCCAGAAACATGACTTGGTCTGTTCCTCTATGTGGAGAATCGTTTTCATTTCAGTGGCCCATTCCCCTTGGAGGATGTGGGATTTATGACAGCCACAGCATGATTTCTCACCAATTAAAACTCAGGAAACCTCAGGATGCCTTTACATGCACTTCGAATATTCCACAAGGAAATACATCTCAGTATACAAGGTGCCATGGGGTTGGGTCAAGGTTCTGGAAGTATGACTGGTGCTAAAGACAGGAGGGACACTAGTGGTCCCCAGGCAGTCCCCCAGCTTCCCTGGTACCTGCCAAGTTGCTCATCACCCCAGCTGGGACAGTCTTCCCAGGCCACTGTGGCTGGGTGACCCCTCAAAGTTAGCTCAGGTTCAGTCCCTTTCAGACCCATGTGCTATGGAGGGAGTGCAGGAGAAGGGCAGAGAAGGGGCTGTCAGATTTTTTTTACTTTTGGGGGTGTTTCCTCCCCGGTAGAACGTTCCAGTGGCCTCTGTGAGACAGCTCCCCGAGGCCAGGCTGCTTTCCTGGGCTCCTTGCTGGAGGCAAAACACAGGTTCCTCTGCTTCCTGCCCACCGCCTGCCCCTCCCCAGTCCGACCTGGAAGGTGGGCCATAATCACACAAGGCCCTTCCTAGGTCGCCCTCTGCCTTACCCGCTCAGTCCAGACAAAGCTCTTGTGGTCAACAGAGCTAGAGAAACTCAGACTCCAGATCCCGAGTCTTATACTTGGACTCAGCTTTAGAAACTCAAGACCCAAGTTGTGGATAAGAGTCACAGAGCACAGAAAATGCACTTGGGGGTGGGGGTGGACAGCAGACGATGGGGGCTTGCCAGACACAGTTTGATTGCAACATGAAGGCATTATCTTGCCGCACTCACAACAACCTTCCAAGCATCACCGCATATGACAGATGAGGAAACTGAGGCTCAGAGAGGTTGGATGGTTTGTCTATGGTGCCACAATTTGTAAGTGATGGCTTAGTTTATCTGCCCCAGTTATGTCTGACACAAAGACCACTGCTTTTAGCCATAGCTGTATCTCCTACGATCCAAATGTTGGGGCAGAACAAGGAACCCCGCAAGGAGGATGGAAAAATTCCCGAAAGTCTAGGTTGCTGATAGTGGTTCCTTTGGGAAGAAGCTGCTAGAAGAGTGCCCTGGATACATACTGTCCTGTAGACCAGCAGACAACATGTCCTTGGGATGAGGACTTCTGCTCCCCTGTCCCCATACCAAGGAATCCAGCATCACTCTGTCCTCTTCTCCTCTGGGCTCCTCCCATTCTCATAATTCAGCAGTGGGGTTTCAGCCAGGGCTGTCAATTCAAGCATGAAGGACCTTTGCCGGGGTGCATCACGTAGGGATGAAAACCTCGCCTAGCCCATTCACATTCTTTTCCTCATCTGAGACGTAGGGCAGCTGTCAGGTGGACAGGCTGGGTGTGTTATCCCCCGTGTCCAGATAAGGAGACCAAGTATGCCACAGGGCATGAGCCAAGGCCCCGCCTCCTTCACTGGGCCACATTCCCATCCGAGCCTTTCCGCAGAAGGGGCCAAACCACAGGCCACTGCGAGGTATCAGAAAAGTAACCACAATCAAGGACCCCAATGCCCACTCTTAAATGGGAGAATAGGGTTTATTGTCTTACTCAACCACGACCAAGCCTTTTCCCACATTTACTGCCCCTCCAAGTCCCTGGTAAATCTGAACTGTATCCAAAAGTACATGTGGCTTTCCCAAAGTGATGAAGTTGGAACAAAATCCGTGGGGCAACAGCAGAGTGTTTATCAAATTAAAATGAAATATACAGGGAAACAGTCACAATATGTTAAGTGGAAAAGACAAAGCTTCCCTCTTTTGTGCAAGTGTGCATAGAAAAATATCTAGAAGGAAATGCTTCATGTTAATAAGTCGCCTCTGTGTTTTCAAAATTTTCAGCAATTACAGTGTGGAAAAAAATGGCAATATTATTTAGGTAATTGATTGGATTTGAGTTTCTGGTTGGGCAGTGGGGCCCAGCTCTTACCAAGATGGACCATCGTTCACAAGGGTGTCCTCCTAGAGTCTATTTCATAATTCCCTCTGTGACTGTCAATAGACAGGCCAATCCTGTCTTTGTCTTGAGTTTTGTGGACGCTTACTGGCAGCAGCAAGCTTCCTAAGACCGGGATGAGTTGAAGACCAGGGGAAAGAAAGATATTCATCAGCTTACATTGGTATTGGGTTGGTGCGCCAACATAATAGCTTATCTCCAAGGTGGCTGCCATCCATTCCTTCCCTTCACATGCATGCATGCATGCGTGCCTGTGCATGGGCATACACACATGCACACACACACACACACACACATACACACCAAACTCCACCCAAGAGGTGAGTGTATTTCTTCCTTCCCCTTGAATATTGGGTGGTCTAGTGATTGATTTAACAATAGAATGCAGTGGAAATGATGTCCTGAGACTTCCAAGGCTAGGTCATGAGATGCTTTGTAGCTGCCATGTTGTGAGGAAGCCCAAGCAAGCAACACCCAGGGCCCCTGGAGCATCCGGCACCAGACAGAGGGGTGAAGATGCCCTCTTGGAGGTGGATCCTCCACCTGAAGCTGCCACAGCTAATGCCACGTGGGGCGGAGACAAACCACCCACAACTTCCTGACCCACAAACCACAAGCGATGATAAAACGGTTGTTTCGTGCCACTGGGGATTGAGGTAGTTTGATGCGTAGTAATAGTCAACCCAGACAGTCGCCAAATATTCACTGTGGTCTCAGCTGCATGCTCCTCAGCTCTTGTGTGCTATCCATGAGCTTTTTTCTGACTTTCCACTTGTCTTTGTTTCCATTTACAAAAAGAAAAACAGATTCAAACTGATTTTTTTTTTTTTTTTTTTTTTTTACCTCACTCTTTACAAAAGAATATATTCCCAAGTCATTTCCCAGTTCTTGGGTTTATCAGACCAGAAGCTTCTTTTGGCTGAAATTCTGTCTTACGAGGGTATTGTGATCCCTCCAACTGGAGGGACTCTTGGCTATCCTGATGTTCAGAGCCCTCATTTACTAGTTCAGGCCCCAAGAGATTCTGGGACTTCTCTGACATCACCCAGCAACTTGGGAGCAGAATAATTCACACATTGAAAACCATGCCAGCGGGAACCATGCCCCATGGGATCAGACGCTGATGTGCTAAAGCAGAGACCCTCTCCTGGCAAAGGTGGGGACAGCGTTCAAGCTTCTGACTGGAGCCTGTGGAGGGCAGGCAGTGTGACCCAGCGGAAAGAGAACTGTGCTGGGATCTGGCCCTAGCTGCTCATTAGAATCATATTACACTTACCTATGCCTGCCCCACCCCAGAGATTCTGATTTAAATCATCTGTGTTGAGGCCCAAACAAGACTAATTTTTAAAAACTTTTTATTAAAGTTCAATATACCCACAAAAAAGTACAACTTTCACAAACGTACAGCCCAGTACATTTTCACAGACTGGACACACCCAACATCGGAATCAAAAGTAGAATATTACAAGCACCCCAAGAGGTCCCCTTTCCCACAAGCCCCAGCCTCTACCCCACCACCCACCACCTCCTGCCAGGGGTGACCACTCTCCTGACTGCTAGCAGGACAGGTTCCTTTGAACTTCATGTGAATGAAATCACTGTGTCTCCTTTCATTTAACAACACATTGCGAGACCTGCCCATATTGTTTCATGGAACTGTAGATTGTTATTTTAATTGCTGTGTAGTATTCCATGCTGAGTATATCACAGTTTATTCATTCTACCGTTGATGGACATCTGTGTGGTTCCCAGCTTTGGGCGATGATGAAGAGTATAGCTATGAATATTCTAGTACATGTCTTTTAGTAAATATTCATACTCCTTTCTCTTGGGTATACACTTGGGATGGGGATCACTGGGTCACAGTTTAGGCCTTCATTCAACTTAAGTGAAACTGTCACATGGCTTTCCAAAGTTGTTGTGTCCATTTGCACTCCCATCAGCCATGCATAAGAGTTCTGGTCACTCCATATCCTTACCAACAATTGGTAGATTCCTTTTTTTTTTTTTTTTTGGATGGAGTCCTGCTCTGTGGCCCAGGCTGAAGTGCAGTGGTGAGATCTTCGCTCACTGCAACCTCTGCCTTGTGGGTTCAAGCGATTCTCTTGCCTCGGCCTCCCAAGTAGCTAGGATTACAGGTGCCCACCACCACGCCCGGCTAATTTTTTTGTATTTTTATTAGAGACAGGGTTTCACCGTGTTGGCCAGGCTGGTCTTGAACTCCTGACCTCAGGTTGCTGCACACCTCAGCCTCCCAAAGTGCTGGGATTACAGGCATGAGCCACCACACCCAACCTCCATCTTTTTTCATATTATCTATTTTG